AGGCTCCTTTTGTTTGTTTAGAAGTTCAATAATCTTATCTTTCTGAGTGAGTTTGAAACCCTTTCTAGTTTTGTTAATTTGTACACCAAGTATTTGTTTATTTTACCTAGAGATTTCAACGAGAAATGTTCATTTAACTTGTTTACAAAGATTTCTCTTCTCTCTCTGTGTTTTCCTATATATAAAATATCATCTACGTAAATCAATACAAACTCAACGTGATCATCACTCTTTTTGACAAAGAAACAGTTATCAGCAGTGGTAGCTTTGAAATCCATGGTTTTAAGTACTTTTACCAAGCAATCGTACCATCTTTTGCCAGATTGCTTTAATCCGTATAAGCTCTTGTTCAATAGCCAAATTTCATTTTTATTAGTGTATTGACTGTGAGGTGCTCTTACGTATATCTCCTTATCTAGTTTTGCGTGTAGGTACGCAGTCTGTATGTCATATTGGAATACATCAAGATTGAGTGTGGATGCTACTACTAGAGCTGTTTTAACACTCTCTGTTCTTACTGTGGGGGAGTATGTGTCAGTATAGTCCTCCGGATATTTTTGTGCATAACCTTGTGCAACCAATCTAGCTTTGTATAAGGTATTGCCTCCTTCTAGATTCTTAATTTTATAAATCCACCTGGTACCAATAATTGTTTTATCTTTGGGTGCAATCGCAGGTGTGAATACATTTAATCCTTGTAAGCTCTCCATCTCCTTTTTCATAGCTAGTTCCCATTTTTCTTTTTCCTCACGAGGTAGTTTTAATACTTCCTCATATGTATTAGGTGTTATTTGTTCACCATCCATATGCATTATGTAATCTTTGTATTTATTTGGCATTTGATTTCTGTTGTTCCTAATAGTTCTTTCTGGTTTGCTATGGTAGTCATGCAAATATCTTGCTTCCTTTTTTGTTAAAGTGTCTGTCTTTATTTTGTGTTTGCTATTTGTCCATGTTTTGGTTTTGTTTTTGCTCCTGTCAATATTTTGATTTTTTATCGTCCCTTCCTCACTAGATTTGACATCCTTGCATTTGTTTGGAAATATTTCATTAAGATGTAATTTAGACCAGTTGGCCTGTTCATGGAACACAGCTGTTCTGGAAACTATAAATTTATTATTATTATCAATGAATCTGTACCCTTTGGTGCCAGTTTCATATCCCATAAATCTTAATCTTCTGGATACGTTTTCTCCCCTTCTCCTCAATTGTTTGGGTATGTGTACGTCTGCAGTGACCCCAAATATGTGCATGTGTGCTAATTTTGGTTTCCTATTATACATCACCTCATATGGTGTCTTATTCACAATACTGGACCAGGTTCTATTTTGAGTGTAATTTGAATAATGTAGGGCTTCTGACCAAAATTGTTTGCCTAAACCAGCATCCTCTAATGTGCATCTAATCGTGGTTTGTAGTGTGGAATTTTTTCTCTCTGCAATCCCGTTTTGGAACGCAGAAAATGGACTAGATGTGTTAATGTAACATCCCTCTATCCTTTAGCCATTGGGAGAATTCCTTAGACATGAATTCACATCCCCTATCTGTCATGATTTGTTTTATTCTGATATTATGTTGTGTTTCTATGCGTTTATAAAATTCCTTAAATTTTTGAAAGGTTTCATCCTTGTGTTTTAATGTGTAAACAAAACCATAGCGACTATAATCGTCTACTATTGTTAGGAAGTAACGTTTTCTATAAGTGACTGATGGAGTTAATGGACCAACTAAGTCCATGTGTACTAAGTCAAAAATTTTGTTAGTAGATCTGGTGGATTTTTTTGGCCTGGGACTAGTTTTTAATTTAGTAGATTTACATACTGAGCATTCCAAATAATTTTCACAATTTTTTATTTTGACACCTTCTGCGTGTTCAATCATTTTTTGTACTACAGGAAAACTTGCATGTCCTAACTTCCTATGTAAGATATGAGCACACTCGTCATGTATTGGTTTACCTATTTTTGGTTTTTTCTCATTGTGTGTATCTGTGTGATCATGAGATATTTTGCATTCATCATTGTCACTGTTACTAATATTTTCATCATCTGCCTCAATGCAATCTTCCATATTTGAATCAATATTATGTAACCATCTTTCTTTTGTTATCAGATAGGGTAGGCCTCCTTTAATCATCACAGTGCCTACATTAGTTTTATTCTTCTCTAAAGTTGCTTTTCCCTTTGAGAAAACTATATTGATGTCAGAGTCTCTGCTTAATTTTATGACACTTAGTATGTTATGAGGTATTTCTGGTATTAACAATACCCCCTCTATTTTTCCTAGACCAGGCAAGGTCACATTCCCTCTGCCTAGTACTTGAACTTTTTCTTGGTTAGCTACTTTTATTACAAACTTATCTTCTGTAAATGAAGACAATATATTTTTGTTATTAGTGGTGTGATTAGTTGCTCCAGAATCAATAAGCCAATTATTGTTCTCATTTGGTTGCGTTTTGGTGCTATCTTGTTTATTTAGTCCATTCAGTGAACCAGATTTTCTCTCTTTTGAATTTTCTCTGCCCCCTCTATTTTCTCTGTAATTTGGTGGGCTTCTATATTTATGTCTGTCTGTGGAAGACTGTCTATAATTGTATTTATTCCTATATTCTGACCTATGTCTTTCTTTTGAGATTTTGGGGCAATCTCTTCTATTGTGTTCTCTGGATCCACAATTGTGGCATTTAAAGTTTTCATTATATTTTTCTTGAAAAGCTACCTTCTTAAAAGGTTTGTGTTCTGTGTGATTGCTATAACGATTTTTCCTTGAATTGTCTTCTGCTATCAATTTGTTAGATAGACTTTCTATTGACAAATATCCTAGATTGATGGTGTCTAAGTGTGACATAAAACTATCCCATGATGAATCAAGTGAGTTGATAATAACACTTTTCATTGTTTGATCTGAAATCACTTCCCCCCTCAAATGCAGCTCAGCTCTTATTTTGTTTAAAGATATTAAATGCTCACTTATGGAAACCCCTGGTTTTACTCTGGAAGAAAAGAAGTCCTTAGACATTCTTGTGGTGGTTGCTACACTATCGCTGTGAAACAAATTAAACATGCATTGAATTATTTCTGAGACAGTTAGGTTTGGTTTGATGCTATGATACATTGCAGGAGACACGCTAGATATTATTAAGAAAAATGCCTTATGGTGTAAACAATCTATTTTTAAAGTCCAAGGTCTTCTTGGGGGACTAGTGATAAAGAATAGTAAATTTTCTTTCATAAAGACAACCTGAAGCTGTTGATACCATTCTTGTAAATTAATGCCATCAACTCTAAGTTTTTGGAAGTCATTGGGTAAGTTACCCACATTATTTTGTCCATTACTTACAACCTGAGGCAGTCCGTGGTCTCGTAAGTGTAGAAAATTGCAAAACGGCATGGGAATGCTCGCAACGAGTCTGCGCGGTTCTCTGGCCAGTTCAAGTCTTTCCGGACCGTCTACGTAGTTTCGCACATGCGCGTTGTTCATTTCTTCTTTGACGTCGTCGTGGAAGGTTCTCTCCATTGCAGCTCGCTCGCTTCGTTCCTCTTCAGACGAGTCGGTCTCTGGCTCGGTCTTAGGAGTTCTGATGGCGGCGGCTGTTCTTTTCTTTCTTTTGGGTGCGTTGGCACTTGCTTCGGTCTGCGGTGTAGGGCGGAATCGACACGGCTCTCTGGGCTCGGGCGTCGTCGTTCTTGAAGTCAGGATGGGAGCGTGCAGGTCTTGAAGCATCGGCTTGTTCGCTTGCTTCTTTGTTGGCGCTTTGGAAATTTTTAATTTTGGCCCGAATGCGGCAAAAAGCGTCTTCATTGCTGACTTTACTTGGGATTTCGTTAAGTCGTTCTCATTTTCTGATTCTGGCTCTTCCGAGGAATTTGAATCCTCCTTTTCACTTTCGTTGTCTGATAACGTTTTTGGCGCCAGAAATTTTGAACTGAGCATTTTGATTGGCTCTGCTTCGCTCATTTTGGAGGCTTGTTGAAACCAAGATGGCTGCCATTCAAAATTTCGCGCGGGATCACATCTTTTCTTTTTCATAACGACTCTCTCTGTAGTCACATCACTCACAGTTTTTTGGTCTTTGGGTTTCTCTTTAGCGATGTTTTTCTCTCTCGCTGCTCCGCTGTTCTTCAGCATTTCTTGGAGGTTCGCGATGAGGCTTTCATCATTCTTCTGGCTTTTTAAAATCTTTAGTATCTCTGACCTGAGTTCGTTGTTTTCTATTTCGATTTCTTCCTGGCCATCATTTTCATTTATTAGTTCTTCTTCTTCAGTGGTATATTCTTCGGATTCTCTCGAAATCGCGTTTGTGGATTCGTTGATTATTTCTTGTTCAGTTTCTATTTCTTTGCTGTAGGCCCTGGTGTTGGGTCTATCTTTCTTAGACATTTTTAGGTATTTATTGAGTCAATTAACCATCCTCTGCTACCAGTTTGTTGCAATTTTTTAGGATCAGACTCAATAATAATATTTAGAGTTAGAGATTCAAATATATTTCTCTTTAATTATAGTAGGCATTCTATATTCACTGAATATTCACAGATAGAAGCAAGGAAAATGGCGAAGGTGGCTCCTTATATATACAAAGGGTGGAGCCAAGAGTAGGAGTGGTGAATTATGAATACATTAGGAAACAAAGAATAAGTTAACCCCTGATATCCCTATATACATTATTTACACATTAGGGAATAAGGCATTTACATCTGACAGTCACAAAAGGGGATCATGTGACCCTGGGGCACTGCAACAGTCATAAGTATGAACCAGTTACCAAGCATCTGGATCTAAATCACATGACCATGGGGATCTCTGATGGTCATAAGTGTGAAAAATTGTCATGTCACTTTTTCAGAGCCATTGTAACTTTGAACGGTCACTAAGCAAACTGTTGTAAGTCGAGGACTATACACTGTATACATTTGGAAAAGATGAATGTCCCCAATTGTCAAGTGGCAACCTTGGTGTTCAATGCTATGTTTCTGAGAGTTTTGTTCTTGATAAACACTTACCTGAGTTTTAGTTTTAGTTTCTTGCGTTTTTCGTTCAGTTGCTCATTTTTAACACTTCTGGGTTCATCAGGTAACAACCATGCCGCAATTAGTTTAACGCATAGAGCCACATGCTGGAAAATTATCAGAGAATTATCATATTATTCCTTCAGGCACACAGCTGCTTTATCTTCTCAGCAATATTTAATCGTCAAGAAAACTGCTCTTCTAAACTACTTGGAACATGGATTAATTTAATTATTACAGTATATCAGTTCAGAATTATAATAGCATTATAAATCAACCATCATATAGAAATCATCATTGATCATCCAGATGCAATGGTCAAAAAACCCTCTTTGTGCCAACTCTGATTTAACGGTGAGTTTACAGTTTATCAAACAAGTCATAGTGGTTTAACTTGAACATAAAGCCTAAACCCAAACTTTAGAAATCATACATCAAGCCAAATTAATAATCCAGACATTATGGATTAGCATAAAATGTAAATCCAACTAAGATAAGGTGATGTCTTCTGAACCTTGGAAATGGCATTCAAGGTATGAGATAAAGTATTTTCTATTGATAACTGGAAAGGGGGTTCTAACGATGCTCATGTCCTTGGACAAAACATAATTTTATCTCTAATCCTAAATAGATTTGGCCTCTCAAATACCTGGTAGATAACAAGGGATTTCTATTTGCAAACAGATTTGGAGCTTTGTGGGAGGCACCGCAAAAATTCTGACATCATCAGCTTCTTTTAAACAGAATATATTCACTGGTCAGTTTCTCTGGTCAAGCGGCTAGATTCCATCCTGATTTATTTGCTGAGGTATAAAGTCCTAGTTTCTGAGGATAATTTTCTCTTACTATGGAACTGTTAAAAGGCAGATGTTCAACTGCTATGGAATTGTGAAAAGGAAAGATTTCAACTAATAATATGTTTATGATGGAGCAATTGATCTGGATTTCAATCACATTTTTGCTGAAGGAGACAAAAGGTCTTAGTGTGATACGTCCTGCTGAACTAATCAAGCATCCAGTAAAACTATAGACCAGGGGTGTCAAACTCTATTTCATTGAGGGTCACATCAGGGTTGTGTTTGACCTTGGGGGCCAGGTATGTGTGGCCAAGATGGGTGTGGCCAGCTAGACATCACTCGTGTCAGGGGCACCCCTCCCAGGCTTCATTTTTGGCTACGACGGCCTCCTGCAGCGCTCTGCCTGTGAAAATAGAGCTTGTGGCCTTCCTGACCTCCGTTTTTGCTGGCAGAGTGCTGCAGGAGGCCGTCGCAGCCAAAAATGGAACTCAGGAGTGCCTCATACGGCAGAGTTCATTTTCACTGGCAGAGGTACCATGGGCCAGTCCTTCACTGTTTCCTAGGCAGCACCGCAGGCCAGATCCATGCACCCTGTGGGTCGGATCCAGCCCATGGGCCTTGAGTTTGACATCCCTGCTATAGGCCATTAAGGCAAGCTGCATTGGCTCTGGACATTCACCCTGGAAGCCGTATGCCAAAAACAGTCAAGAAGACCACAGTCCTAGTCCACTGCTTGGATGCAGATGCTGATGCCCTTTTCCCACCCCACTCGTTTGCTCTCTATCATGCTCCACTCTCACTCTTACACACAATCCATTCTACTTTTCTTTCACACGCACAAAGGAAGGCAGCACAATGCCTGTGAAGAAAAGGATGCTTTTTAAGATAAAGAAATGTGGTGGAGCTTGAGGAGAGGCTATCAGGGCGGGGGGCAGCCTTACAGACAAAAGGAGCCTTGGTAGTACAGTGGTTTAATGCACCCTGTAATTAACACAGCTGCCTGCAATTTCTGCAGGTTCGAATCTTACCAAGCTCAAGGTTGACTCAGCCTTCCATCCTTTCTAAGGTAGGTTAAATGAGAACCCAGTTTGTGGGGGCAATAAGCTGACTTTGTATAAATATACAAAAGTATGAAGGCTATTGCTTAACGCATTGTAAGCCGCCCTGAGTCTCCGGAGAAGGGCGGCATATAAATCAAAAAAAAAAAGTCGCTTTTTGGAAGAAGGTTTTGTACATCTGTCTTTAACAGGATTCTTCAAGGGTTATGCATGCTCATAAATAGTTTCCCCGAAACTACCTCTGTAGGTTTTGCTGTCTGCACACGACTATCTCCACGCTTTTGCAATCCAAACACTTACTTCAAATACAAATAGAAAGGCAACACGTGCAGCAAAAATGTGCCAAAACTTAACAGAATGACTGTAATCATCACTGTTCCGGTAGTCTGGGTACCTGTAGAAAGTGGATAGAAACAGGTAAACTTCTCCATTTATTTATTTTTCCCACTTTCCCAAGTTTCCCTCACATACTTTTTCTCTGCTTTAAAATGACTATTCTTGCTTCAATACGCAAAGGCTCTTAGAATGCCAATGCAAAGTTTGTTCTAATATTGTTTATTTTAATGTAATTTATTGTTTAACTTATAAAGAGCATAGTCAGGCAAAACAGAAGCAGCATAAAATAAATCCTAGTACGTGTATATAGGTAAAACCAGTTTTGGTACAAATCAGTCTTGTCATTAGAGTGCTGAACACAAATGATAGAAAAGGAGGAGGCCTACATCCAAAAACATTGTCTGGCCTGCTGTGTACTTTCTGTTTTGAATTGGAGGGCACAGAAACATTGATAGTTATTAGCCAATACCTGCAGTGGGTTATCTTATTCCCCATTGGGTCCGTCAGATTCACAGTATTCTCGAAATGCTGGACGTTGAAAACTGAAAGGCTGTGGTTGATATAACCTGTCAAACAGCTAGGGAAGCACAACAAAGCACAAACGATCAGTATGCAATATTTCAGTTCTGCAGGTTGTAAAACACTTAATTTTGGACCAGAAGAGATTTTTATTTAGTCATCCTCCCACCCCCTTTGGTTCATTCTAACATTCAAGGTAACCTAACAACAATAAAAAATAGAAAGTCACAAGATAAATTTAATACAATTAAAATCAAACTGTCGTTTAAATAACAAATAACATGGTGAATCATGCAGCTATTAAAAGGGAAGGAGCAAGAGAGCTTGGTGTTATGGGTGTACTGATAACATCTCACTCTCAAAATCTAATGGCCTCCTTCAGCAGTTTATGTTGATATTACATAAAACAGAAGACAACATAGAATATTGGGGGAGACCATAAATCAGTGACCTAGCTGTTGAACAATTCTTGTAGTGCCACCTTCTGGGCATGTCTCAAGAGGAAGGATTGGATCCAGTGCAAAACAATGGCCCCATGACCCAACTCTGCCAGAAGGCCCTGAAGCATACCTGGTTGACAGCATCAAAGTTGCTGAGAGTTCCAGGAGATGTAGATATTAGTACTCCTTCACGTCTACCTAAGTGATATACCAAGGTGACCAAAGCATATCCCAGATGTAACTCTGATTGAAATTAACCCAGAATCACTTTCTCAATCATTTATCAGATTCCAAAATGGAATATTTGATACTGGGCTATAATTAGAAGGGACTTCTGGGTCAAGAAACAACTTTGTCAGTAAAGGTCTTATAGTTGTTTCCTTTAAAAGCGGCAGGAACTAATCCCAAGGAGATGATAGCTAGATAGCTAGTTAGCTAGATAGATGATAGATAGATAGATAGATAGATAGATAGATAGATAGATAGATAGATAGATAGATAGATTTGACAACCAGGAAACGAAAAGCTTGACCAAATAAGTGCTGGTTCTCATCTCTCCTCATACACTAGTCCATATCCAGCGGTGAAATGCTACTGGTTTGCACCAAACCAGTATTTCCGACGATCAGCTGTGCCATGTGGTTTAAAATCGCTAGAAAATAGGAAATCCTGCTTTCCAGTGAATCTAAATTGCGCAGCACAGCTGTTCCCCCCCCTCGCTGTTCTACTTACCTTCCCAAGTGTCCTTTTTCCACGCGAAGCGTGCATTTGATGCATACTGCACATGCGTGGGCACAGTGTGCATTTGGTGTGCATTGTGCATACACGTGCAGCATACATTTGGTGCGCACTGTGCCTGCACACACACAGAGTGTGCATTTGGCACGCACCACGCATGCATGGGCAGCAAACTGGTGGCAAACCAGGGAAGATTTCACCACTGTCCAAGCTGTAAATAATCTATATGAACCTGACAAGTAGCAGCCAAGACAACCTACTACTAACTGTCCCAATACTGGAGTCCAAATTGAGTCAAACCTAATAAACTCTGACTGCTAAGAATGAAGAAAAAGTGACCCATTGAACCTCTCTTATAGTTCCACCTCACTCTGCATCATTAAAGGGGAGATTCTGCACATTATCAAACAGCTTCATCACTCTGTTCTGTGCAGAACAGAGGCTGAAAAATAAGTCCTCTTTGCTGCACCCACTGCCATGGAATGAGATTTCAAATGATCCTGAAAGAAGGTCCCATTCCATATCCAGTCCTATTCATCACAATATATACTTACTCATTATCTTAATTCTTTTGAAGTTCCTATTAGCAACATTGATAGACATGCCATGCTTCAGATTTCCAACTGCAAATTACAGTTACTTGCTTAATACAATAATCTGCCCTAATATTGTAATTTCATTATTACATGAAATATGAAAGAAAATATTTCATGTATATGCATTTGGATTAAGTTAGAAAGTGCTTAAAAGTCACTGGTTCTTTGATGGTCGAACATGGGAGATATTTTTCCTCAGTGCAATACATGTACATGTACTATGATAAACGAGGGCCACCAATAAAGGGCCAATATTGGATTTATTTTTTGTGAGGAAGAGTCAGAGATATTCTGTCACACATATTTTACAAAATGTGGCCAGTCTAAAAAGCTATTTAATTTCCTTTTCTGTGGTTTTCAAGCATTGCTCTATTTGGCTAATTCTATTTTTCCCCCCTTCATTTTAATCTATCTACCTTTTTACTCCTCTCCATAACCATACACCGAGGCCACAGGCACATGACACTCTCAGCTATTCAACTACATTTTAGATTGCTTAGTAGTGGGAACCTAGCCTTTGTAGTTCAACATATCATGTGAATCAAGCCACTGAACTGAGTTGTTTACAATTATTTACCATAGATAAATATGTCATCCAAACAGGGAAGAGAAGCAACAGGGTCCACTACAAATACAAGCTCACTAATTCTTACCACCCATGTTTTTGGAGCCCAGTTATAGTCCTATGATGATAACAGTGAGGATTAACTGTATCTTTTATCCTACTAGCCTTAAGCTTAGAGGAAAACTATGAACAATATATCTATTTAAATAAAGAACCAATTAACAATATGTTATATTTAACAGCCATGTTAGAATTTCAGAGAATACTAACTCAATGCCATTATTGTTCTTCTGCTTGCATGGACTGAATGTATATTGGTACACCAGCATGGGGATGAAATCTGAGGTGATGGCAATAACTAGGCCATTGCCAATAACAGAGAGTATACCAATTGTTTCTAGGATGTAGTACCAGATACCTGTAAAAGGAATGAAAAACAAAAGAGATACTGTCTTAGTCAATATGTGGAAGAAAGAGAATTTACCCTAACTGTAATGAATCTTTACCCCTGCCCCTCATAGGGAAGAATAGTCTTTTTCCTGCAAACTAGAATAGAGCATTATTTGTCAAAAATGTAAGATATAAATGAACTATAGGCTTAATCAATTGGAGTAACAAGGATTTTCTTCTGTCTTAGCCACTTTCTACAGAGGGACAATTGAGAGTGTTTTAACAAATTGCATCACTGTTTGGTTTGGTGGCAGCAGTGCCTCAGGTAGAAAGTCCATACAGAGAGTGGTAAGGACAGCCAAGAAGATTATAGGATGCTCACTTCCTGTAATTCAGGATACTGCTTATAAGCGCTATGTGCTTTGAGCTCAAAGCATTGTTAGAGACCCTACACACCCATCAGTGATGGTCTGTTTCTGTTGCTCTCTTCTGGGAGGAGGTTTCGAAGTATTTTTAGGAGGACTACCAGATTCTGTAACAGCTTTGTTCCCTATGCCATCTGTCTGGTAAACTCGCAAGATTCGTTTTTCTCGCCATGTACATGTATACATCCAAACTAGACTGTGTTGTTTCTCTGGGTCATATAATATATGTGGGTATATGCATAATTTTGTATTTATTTATTTATTTTGTCATGTTTATGTAGTATATATTGGAGGTGGTGACCCTTTGAGAGCTGTATGCAATGAAATTTCATTTTAATGTATAACAATTAATGTACATTCAAAGTGACAATAAAGTTATTCTATCTATGTATTTATGTATCTATCCATGTACCTATGTATGTGTATGTATGTATGTATGTATGTATCTATCTATCTATCTATCTATCTATCTATTTATCTATCTATCTCTGAGAGAAAAGCAATATGGAACAATGTGGTGATGTGTGTTATTTAGAGCATTGTTATTTCTCAACCTTGGCAATTTTAACATGCTAGCTAGGAAATTCTGGGTGTTGAAGTTGAAAAGTTTGGGAAACACTGATTTAGAGAGAAAACTGGGAATGTTACCTTCCTCATTTTCATTCTCCAAATAGTATCTATTTGGATCTTCTTGCTGTGGCCAAAGCTAGCTAGATCTTGACTTGGGAGGCTGTCCTTCAATGGTTTTAGTCATAAGGCTTGAGTTGATGTATTGCTTTGGACCTCAAAGACCATCAAAGCATTTGACTCATTCCAAAATTCTATCCCCTTGTTTAAAAGCAGCTGCATCAAAAGAATATCTTATCACAGTAAAATTGATGTTTTGATGCATGAAACAGGCCTACCAAATGTACTGGGGGAGAAATCTCTTTGATCTGCATCTTACCAATGGTGTTAGCTTTCTTGGGCACCATTCGCTTCTGCAGTTTCACCATTTTGATAGCATCCAACCGAATCTCAAAAAGGTTACTGATAAAGGCCAGTAATGGTGCAAGGGGGAAAGCAGCCACAAAAACAGTGGTGAAGCTGTACTGGATCACTAAGGATATAAAAAAGAAGTTGAAAAGAGGCAGAAAATTAAACAACATGAACTTTTGATTACTAAATTTGTTGGGCCAAAAAGGATATACGCATATTCTACTCCAAGAGCTTGCATGCAATAAGGGTGCATTGATGTCTATTCCTTTTCCAAGGAAAACATCTGTCATTAAAAGAACCTTACAGGAGCTCTAGTTCAGAATGCTTGAGTTTTATGAGTAACAATGCAATACCTTAACTGTACTGGGCATATACAAGTTGGATTCAAGATGTTAACATTATCACTGTGATCAAGAATATTTCTTTCAAAGCATTGGTGATAAGAAGAACTGAAAGCAATCAATACAACAATATAGCTATAGTATTTCATTCTCATGTTCCTCAAAACTATCGTGTAGCTTTGACTGACAAAACAGCCAGCATTCTAATCTTTGTTTGCCCCCCATAGCATGTTGCTGAGTCTTATAATGTTCTGTGAGCTTTTCCACTGAGCTTCACTTACTCATCTCCATGTATTCATCAAACAAGGTGAAGACATTGACTTCATTGAGCTGATAGTTCCACAACCATTCCTCCTTGCATGGGTCCTGGGATGTCTGCTCCACATTAATCCTTTGGGGCTTTCTGCACAGCAGGCGGCACTTGTAGGTTAGAGAACTGAAGGGGCAAACATATAATATTAAGGAAAGTAGTATTCAAAAGAAGACATCTGTCAATTGTTAACTGAATATCCACTCTTGAGGTCAACAACAGACATAATCCACCCACCCTGCAACTTGATGACTTCCCCAAATGGGAAACCCACAATTCCCATTTTCCCAAATTCTCAGCTAATCAGGTTGCCTTTCTTTTTCAATTTTTTTTGATAATTATATATTTTTTTTCATAAAGGCTAGAATATCTGTACTCTGAATACTTCATAAATCGCTCTCCAAATAGCCATTTGAATGTTCCTGCAAAGAAAACAGTTATTCATAGGCTTGATTCACACTGGAGGCAACACTTCTGTTCCCTTGGTATTTCTTTAAATTTACATAGCCACCCATCTCACCTGACTCTGAATGGCTCACACATTAAACAGCAAAATCAAACGCATATAAATAAAATTTAAAACAATTAACTGTAGGCATTAAAAATATCAATAGAAGAGAATGTTTTTAGGTCAGGGATGGAGTCCTTGGTGCTCTCTGAGCTTGCTTTTTCAGTGTGATGTTACTTAGTTGGGTAATGAAATGTCTGCAAGAAAACAACCACACCAGGGTGGGTTGTACTTACCTTTACTACTGGTTCACAACGGGGCCATGTGCTCTTCTGTGCATGCGCAGAAGCTCCCTGATGACATCAGGGTCAGTGGGCGGAGCCTCCCGCCGGTTTTACTACCGGTTCTTGTGAACCGGTCTGAACCAGGGGCCCACCACTGAATCACACTCAGAGAGCACAAAGGACTTCATTGGAAAAAAAAGTTCATGAAAAGGCCAGCCAACAGCTCACAGACAATACAGCTATCTTGAAGGGTCTCCATGCTTACAGGATACTGATGGTGCTCTTAGATTGACCCAATCTAATCTCAGGAAGGATGATGTTCCAAGGGGTGGATGCCACCTCACAAAAGTTCTCTTCCTGAGTCCCATCAGTTGAAACTCTTGTAGACGGGACCCATAACATGCTCATCTGTATAATGTAGGAACTCTTGGAAAACAACTAGCTATGTTCCATTTAAGAAGCAATTTCTAAAAACTTGCTTCTCTATATGATGAGGTGGGCAATTGCCAGATCCCAAACCACTTGCGGACATCAAAGTCCCAGAGAAATTTCAGTGGTCAACTAAATTTGACAACATATTTCCAATCAAACTTCACTGGAAGAATAAAGAAATCAAATTAAGTTAAGGGTTAAGTTTCAGAAAGGCTTAATGCACCTTTGCACTGCAAAGCAAATAAAAAACGGTGCCTGCTCTCCATAGTAATTATAATCTTGCAGAAAGCCGCCACTTGTACATCATCATTATGTCACTGTGCTGCCCTCTGGCTGCTGACAAAAGCTTTTTTTTTTTTTTTTAAGTGCTGAAGCTGCCTGAAATATTTGTGATAGGATATCTGCAGTTTACCAGCTCAAGATGCTCTTAAATAGGATTCCCACAATGGGGCAAACTGTTATAACCATGTGTTTATGCCCTTAAGCACAGGCACGTGAATGAAGTCCTTGCCCTCACTCCCTACTTCAAAGTGCTTATATAGAGCTACCGTATGTGTGCACGGGAGAAGAATCACAATAGTAAAAAGAAAAAGCACAGAATGTTGTTATTCCAAAATCGCCAACTCCAAGAGAGCCTCCTTCATGTCATAGTTCTCCAACTACTTGATATAAAAATGCAGGCTGCATATCTCACAGGCAAGGACCCAGGTTGAAGAAAGTAATCCCATCACAGGATGTTGTATCCTAGATTTAGATGATTTAAGCATATGGGCTGCGTCACATCTTCCAAAAGAAGAGAGGTCCCACCCACATTCCTAGATATTGGCTCACCTGGAAGAACAAAACTCCTTCCTTGCCCTGAAGCCAAAGAAGAAGTATAATTTATCATTTCTTTTCCAAGAATTGAAATTGCCATTGCATGCATGTGCATATACACACACCCACACTAGTTTCACTTGAGCTGTAAGTGTACAATGATCTAGAAAAATAAAGAGGGAGCTGGATTTGATCTACTTACGGAAGCAAGTACTCCACGAGACTGCTGAGAGTTTGCTTTAATGTCATAATTACAAACATCTGAATGAAAAGGTCTGTAATGCAACCACTCGGATGACACTAGACAAAGAAAAAGGAATGTGTTGTAACTGAAGAGTGCTTCCAATGTCATTTTTTTTTTTTGTATTCTCACTCTGCAAAAGGCCTACGAGGAAAGAGCTAGAAAATGATACATGTCGGTACATTTCTTACATTTTTGTCCAGCTTTCCCTCTCAAGAGCTCAAGGTGGATACAAGGTCTTTCTTTTATCCATTTTATCTTCTCCCAAATCATCTGACCAAATATGACATTGAGAGAGTGATCAACTCAATTAGTTCTAAATGCATGATCGGAATTTGTCTTATGCATCTTGCATCCACGCCTACCCATTACCATCATGAACACAACTTTTATGTTATGTTCAGAGTGCAAGTCAAAAGTTATAGTGAGATTTAAGCAACAGAATAATCTCCATCTGGAGCCAAGATTTAAACCATCCCAATATGCTAAGAGATGAATGAAAAGAGATGAATGAGAAATCAATTTAATAGGAGATCAAGACAGGAATGGAAAAGGGGATTGTAGTAAGGTAGCTTACTTCTTCCAATCTCCATTTGCCAGCCACACGTACATAAGATCCTGGATGGCCATTAATCCTAATAAGGAAGTGAGGTTAAAATATAAATTGTTCCCAATCCTAATGATAGGTTTGATAATCATCATATACAGAATGATATATTAAAAAATTCCAACAGTGTTTAAAAAACAGTATTTCAAACATCAAAAACAAGAGTCAGATCTTCAAAGGACATGGATAAATGAAGAATTGAGGGTAGGAATCCTATAGTTTCAGAATGTGGCTAAGTTTTCAATAATATGGCAAAGTTGTTAATAAAACTTAGATCTTGAGTGTCAGCTCTAATGCCTGCAGTTGTCCAATACCTAACTCTCCCAAGTTCACTACTTACTGTTTACCTCCCTAAGAAGAAAGCAACGTAGATCAGAGAAGAGAAATAGGTGAAGAACTGGAAGGTGAAGACTTTAATGGTATAGCTTTTCTCTCGCTCGCTGAATGATCTTGGCCTCTCTGGAAAAAAAAGCACAAAACTATAATCAGTTGTAGCCCTTGGAACATTTGATCTTATCTCATGCATGCCTTACTCAGTTTCAAGAAAGTATTTTTCATGCAGTATTGAACATCTCTGTAGTGAGTTTTCACTCATCCTCTATAGAAATCTTCAACTATCAAGTTGTTTTCCAGTTGTATTGAGATACAATTTGCCTCATCCTTCATGATTGCCCATGCTATCTTGAGCTGCCAGAAGTTACAGCCCAAGACAGCTGGACAGCATAAATGAAAACAGGCTGCTCTACAGTCATTCAGTACATATATATTTCAAATAGAAGGATGAATGTACACAGCATTGGATGCTTCTTACCTAATTCACAGAGAAAGTGTGCAATATATTTGTTCACCTGCAATAGAAATATAAATTATACAAGTGCAGAGTGCCTGAAAAACAGACAGCTACAAAACAAGTAGCAAATGTGTACCTTGGTCATAATGACGATGCTCAAGTAGTGCATCACTGCACCTGTCAGGACTGCCACCGTAGTGGCTTTCTCTTGAAGGAATTTTGAATTGGACTGAGTAAAGATTACTGTCACCACAATCCGGTAGATGACCAAGGCATGGGCAATCCCAATCAGCACACATATCTAAAAAGAGATAAGAAAGTACTGATAGCACCAAAAAGGAAAAATGAAAACATCAGAAGAACAGAAGTCAGGGGGTCCATCAGTTTTAGGTAATCATGATGATCTAAAGACATGGGTTGGGACCTATGTTGATTAAATAATAAAGTTATTAGTCTTGAAAGTGCCATAAACTCTAAATGTTTAGCTGCTGACTAATTCATACTACCTCTCTGAAAGCTCTGCTTGTTGTTTTTGTTTTATAGGAAGATGGAACAGAAGATAGCTGGCTAATCTTTTTTCTCTACTACTTCTTATCTGTAGAAAGTTCTGCTAAGCTTAGATTTTGGAAATAATCTTATAAAAATAAAATTTTCAAATTTCTCTTTTTGGAAAAGTTGTCCTGCTGCATTGTGAAACAGTGTAAATAATCTGCTGATTTGTGACAAATTTCAGCTCCATCTGGAAGGGAAGATCTAGGTTTTATTTTCATAAAAACCTCCAATATTTGAAATTTCTTGGGGAGTATCACAATGGCCAGAACTATTTTATCCCTACTTTACTAGCTCCTAAATGGGATCTGAATGTGTATCCAAGTTTTGTAAGAGCAGCACAAAGTCCCTTTAGGAATCCTTCAGAATACAAATTTTGCCTAAAGTGGACCATCTTTAAAAGAACATCTCAGTTTTGGCAACTGTAGACTGATGATGACGCTATGTGATCTGTGGCAATGCTCAATCCCCCATGCATCTACGGATTCAAAGTTTAAGATGATTGCTGTGCCAGGACAGCTGAATGATAGGTTTAATTAATGGGGGCAAGAACTGGAATGTAGGAAAAAACTTCCATTTCCTGTATCCATTTCTGTTTGAATATACAGTAAGCCTATGGGTTAGACAAAGTAGTACTGGCCAGAAAAATGAACTGAGGGTTTAAACTGCTGAAAGTGATACTGTCAGCTGTCCTTCCAGGAGATTATTGTGTCACCTACCTGGGTGTTTAGGTTTCTTTATTAGCATTTTAATAAAGGTATTATTAGCATTGTAGCATGGCATCCATATTTCCTTTTAAAGTATAGCAAACTTGCTTTCTATCACATATATTGAATGTGTGTATTATTTGTTTCCATAGTCTATTAAAAATCTTGACACTTCCCATTCCCTTAATAAATGCTTTATGCTTTGCCTGAATTACTTAAGTGATTCATATTTTCAGGTTTGCAAAAAAGTCCCATTGCAAAGGTAAAATTGTTTTCTCTCCCAAATTCAGGGAGTAGATCTTCACTCCACACAAATTCGGTGCCTAAACTTCTAGGCAACAATTGTATCTTATTCACATATCCCAGTGGTGTCCAGCGGGCATACTCTTTCACAATAAGAAGTGAAGACCAGGAAAAAAAGATGTAATGCATGTGTTGCCTATTATCTAGGCAAATATAACATTGCTTATTTTTATTATTTAGAAATAAAGAAATCTTTTGAAATGCTTTTTCATTTATAGGAATCCCTTCTAATTATACTTCAAAGGTGTAGTATTTTTCTTATATATGTACCATTAATAAACATCCAAAGTAAATATGAAAAGTACATTAGGAAAACAGTATGCACGTACCATAATAAGAGCTAAAATAAGCACAATTATACTGCGGATATATGAATGCTGATACTCCTCAGAGGTATTTTCAGGGTTATTGATGAGCTCCAAAGCCACTTCCTCCTACAGAAAGAAGTACAGTGGTAATAGTAATCACACTTTTCTTAAACGCCTGAAGGCTTAAAATTCTGAGGTTATTAAAGTGAGAAGAGAATCTTTTCCTTTATTCCAATTTTATTTCATGATGGTCTCTTTTAGTCAGTGAGACTTGACTTTAAGAAAACCAGTGTTTGAATTGGGGCAATACTGTATTTCAGGGACAATTTCTGGATTAAAAAAAAAAATGTATATAATCAGCAGCAACATACTAAATCATTAGTTCGCTATTTACTTTTGCCCTTCCCCAATTCTGCAATAAAAAAAAAATCCATGGTGAAGTTAGGGGGGAGAGCTGTGGTGGCGCAGTGGTTAGAATGGAATATTGCAGGCTAATTCTGCTCACTGCCAGAAGTTCAATCCTGACAGGCTCAAGGTTGATTCAGCCTTCCATACTTCTGAGGACCCAAATTGGTGGAGGCAATATCCTGGCTCTGTAAACCTCTTAGAGAGTGCTGTAAAGCACTATGAAGAGGTATATAAGTCTAAATGCTATTGCTATTGCTATTTCAGTTCACCTGCACTAATAAAAGCCACCAGTAGAATATTATGATTATATAGGACTAGCCTATGTAGCCTAAATTCTGACCTCTACTATATGTGAAAGCATATTAGCTATCTCTGTGAATTATCCTTAGAACCTAACAGAAGCAATCAAATAATTCAGCAATTGTAAAACTATTATAATCTCTATTTCATAGGAGATGGAGACCCACGTTAAATTTCCTCAAGTATATGCTGCCCTCATCCCAACCAACAAGATTAGAAATCTCTTTACCTAAGAGATTTTTTGGGTCATTTGCTCAGTTCTGTGATAAGCAAAAGTCTATTCTTTAGGGGTAACTGTGTGCAAAATACAGACATGAGACAACTGGGTTAAAATATGGAAAACATTTGCATTCAAAGACAGAAAGGGACAAAAAGCTGTTGGGTTGCAAAAAAAGTTCCCAGACTGATGAAACAAAAAAAGGCAAACACTTCCTATTTTTACACCTTTTCCTGGAAATGCCAGAGACAGATCTTTCGATATGCAAATAAGCGCTCTGCTTCTACTACTATCCTAATAGCCTCATAAATCAAGGATTGAACATGCAAAGTTATTTTATACAGTGTTACACAATTGTCCCAAATAAAAAATACTCTTTCAGAGGTCTGAGACTGTTTTATTTAGATGATAGGATACAGCCTAAAAGCAAGTGTGAGAAGTGTATGTGCCAACCTGTCTCTTTCACTTCAATTGCCAACATTCAAAATGGATCAATTCAGAGTTTAACTCACCACCACTTACTCTATCCTGACCAACTCTGCTGGAAGTTTGATTTAAGAATCATGATGTCTATATAAAAATCTTAACTGTGACAGAAAAATCACAAAATAAGGTTCTTGAAAGAACCTTTATAAGATGCTGGAGATGTATATGAGAAAATATAATGCCTAGTCAACAATTTATGAAATGAAAGGCACAGGCCTTCCTAAACTGAGCTGACTGTCAATTCAACAATTACCATTGTTACTCCTTGTTTCAATTCCTGGAATGGCAATCTGAGGACAAGAGAAAATTTCTAGGACTCTCAACTGGAACTACTGTTCAAGTGTAACAGAGCTCTTGTACTGATCTCTGCCTCACTACAAAATTGCTGAAGTTTCTACCAACATTTTCAAGTGATATTAGTTTTAATATCAGGTGGCAGTCATCAATATAGCATACCAGATGGCACCCAGTGCAACCTGTTTACCAATTAGGGGGAAATGGTAAAATTTTATTTATTAGGCAAATACAATAAGATCTTTGTGATTTTGAATTGAATCTCTTTGAGCATTTGGAACATGTAAACATGGATCGTTTTAATTTAATTTCAGTTATTGGTGTTCAAAACATTGTATAAAGGGATTGGGGCCCTTTGCCTGAAAAATTGCTGACTCTTGATCTAAGACACAAATAGAAATGTTAACTATTTATTTATTTATTTATTTATTTATTTATTTATTTGCAATAAATGTCAGGTTAGACATCAACACCTGCCTAGTAGCTGTACTTGTACTAAAGCTATTACAGAAGAGATTTTTCTTGCCACCAGAGATATTAAGAATGTTCTTACCAGTGGTGGGTTTCAAAAATTTTTACTACCGGTTCTGTGGCTGTGGCTTGGTGGGCGTGGCATGGCTTGGTGGACATGGCTTGGTGGGCATGGCAGGGGAAGGATACTGTAAAATCTCCATTCCCACCCCACTCCAAGGGATGGATACTGCAAAATCCCCATTTCCTCCCAATCAGCTGGGACTTGGGAGGCAGAGAATAGATGGGGGCAGGGCCAGTCAGAATTACTACCGGTTCTCCAAACTACTCAAAATTTCCACTACCAGTTCTCCAGAACTCATCAGAACCTGCTGAAACCCATCTCTAGTTCTTACATGCGAGAAAAGAACTGACCTTACCTCTTCTTCATCCCACTGATACATATTCCAACGACTGACAATTTTAGCTCTGTGTCGCTTCCATAGCTCCAAAAATACAGTGGCTGTACATTAAGGACAAATAAGATAAAGAGGGAGGGAGGGAGAGACAGAGAGACAGCAAAAACACAATTTTCAATCTCTTCCATGAATCCTCCAGTATTCTGCATAGTACAGGACAATTCATTTTACAAAATTCATAGAAGGCATTTAAGAGATACCACAACACTGTTTATAAAAGCTGTACCAAGATCTGTGCTTAATGCACAGTGGATTGCAAGCAAAATAGCCTAGTATGCTTCTCCAAGTTCCATGGAGTGCATTTAAAACAAAACAGTAGCTATTACTTTCAAAAAATATATTAGGATATATAAAAATAATGTTTCCTTTGAGTCAAGCCTGATGCCTAGTAATATCTTTGGTCGTATGGCCATATGGAAGTGGCTTGCTATTCCTATCCTCTGCCTTTAAAAGAAAAAAAAAACACATTAATCTATGTGACAGCCTTGGTATTTCCCAGTGGTCTCCTATCCAACTACTGGGCCATTGAGATCAGCCAAAGTATGCAGAGGATATATATTTCTAAGGGAATGTTAAGAATATAACGGAACATATACAAAGATTTGTTTCCCATAAGATATTCCATATTCTGTTAGCAGAATAAGAGATTAAAAATATTTTGGCAATGAAGAGGAGAAAGGATTGTCCTGTGGACAGAAAAGAGCTTATATTTAAACAGCATTCCTCATTAAACCAATCTTCCACAAGCTTACCCCAGACGGTCATGAACATTGCAAACAGAACTGTCCCTTCATTGTCAACGACATGGGTGATCTAAATGGTTAAAAAAAAAAAAAAAGAGTCACTAGAGTTCTTTGGAAAACTGTGTGTGGCTTTTTTTCACAATGTTGCTTTTTGTCATTCTGCTTTCTTTTATCACATATGCTCCCTTTCCCCTGTGAACATGGATGGATGGGCCATTCAGCTGTGATACAGATCATAAAGACATCATAAATTCTTTTCTTATATTTAAGTGAAATGTAACTGGACATTGTGTTCATTATTTCTGCTTCTAGTTCCTGTAGCAGCGGAAAATTGATTCCTATTCATCTTCCCCATGGCACCTTTTTACATACATAGAATAGAAATGAGCTGGAAGGAACCTTGGAGGTCTTCTAGTCCAGCCCCTGCTCAAGTAGGAGAACCTATACCATTTCATGAATACATGAATACAAATATAATGTCACCTCCTTAGTCTTAATTTTTTCAGACTCACCACCCATGTTCCTTCAGCTTCTCTCTTTAGGGTATCTCCTCAAATCCCTTCTAGCAGCTGCCTCATGTTCAGCTTGTGGTCAATGTCCACACCTAAGTCTCTCTCCAATATAGCATTTCAAAGCCACACATTCTCTGTCTTAAAATGTGTGCCCCACATTTTTCCTCTTTAAATACAAAATCTTACAATTCTCCCTTTTATACCTTGGATATTTTGATTTCTCAGACCAATTTTTCAAACTGTCCAGTTTAGATTGAAATCTCATTCTCTTATTCTGAGTGTTAGCTTGACCTTCCAATTTTTTGTCATTCCCAACTATGATAATCAATGCCTTTAGCTAGGTCGTTAAATTAAAATGTTGAGTAATATTGGTAGTCCCAACATAACTGGCTATGTCTCCTCAATTCAAAATAAAGTCCCTAATTTTGATTGTGTGAGTGTGTTAGCTAGCCAGTTGTGGATCCCCTGTGCTGACATGGCATCTAAATTACTCCTTGACTGTGGAATGTTAAGGTGGAACTGGTAGTGAGAATGCCATGTGGAAACTTGACAAAACTTTCCCTGAAACTGAGGTTGATTACATCCCTAGCAGTCAATTTATCCACTAAAGTGAAGTCTCTTATGATCTATTTTGGACAAAATAATGCTGATTTCTAGCAGTCATGTCATTATCTTCAAGATACTTTTGAAGGAACATTTGAGGGTCAAGCTAAAGATTATACATTAAACTAAATCAAAACAGTTGTGGAACTATATGGTGTCAAATTAACACCATATAGTGTGGTGAAATCCTCCACAGGTTGCCACCGGTTTGCTGCCCACACATGTGCCATGTGTGCCAAAAGCATGGTGTGTGCGTGCATGCAGTGCATGCCAAAAGCATGCTGCATATGCATGTGCAGTACACACCAAATGCACGCTGTACACACTCGCATGCACAGTGCGTGCCAAATGCACACTGCGTGTGGAAAAAGAAGGCTTAACAACGTAAGTAGAACAGTGAGGGGGGGAACAGCTGTGCTGCGCAATTTAGATTCGCTAGAAAGCAGGATTTCCTGCTTTCTAGCAAATATAAATCGTGCGGCACAGCTGATCGTTGGAAATACCAGTTCAGACAAACCAGTAGCTTTTTTTACTACCGGTTCGCCCGAACCTGTGTGAACCGGTAGCATTTCACCCCTGCCTTTATAAATGTCTGTTTATTTATTCATTCTTTTATTCATTTTTCAAATTTATATAGTGCCCATCTGACAAATCAAATGACTCTTGATTTGACAAGAGAAACTGAACTCTCAGTTTAGCCATAAAATACTTAGAAGGCCAAAGTGTGCTGATCAGGTGGGGAAAGATGCTGGGAGGCAAGCCGAGCTTTTGGAAAACAAAGGAAGTAACTCCAAGGGTTACTTCAACCCCCTATATTCATGGGAATCTGGTTCTTTGTTCTTTCAAAATTCCATTGCCTTTTTAGTACTGCACCATTATCTGGTAGTTCTGCTCTGAGGGCCCCACTCACCTCAGTATTGAAGTTAAACTCAAAGGCTGATACCACTGTGACCATATTTCTCTCTCTCTCTCTCTCTCTCTCTCTTTGTAAGATGACCATATTTGCTTTTCTCTGGTCCCCTAGCTCTTCCCTAGTTCTCCTTGCTAGCAGATCAAAAGATACTCTTCTGCAGCCTCCACTGAGAAAGCATAAGTACCTGTGGATATTCTGTTTCTTGGGCAGTAGAAGTACTAGAATCATAAGAGCACCACAAGAGATAAGTGAGATATTTTATGTTCTTACCTTGGCATATGTGCAAGTGTCTGATAAAATCCAAAATGGGCACTTCTGGTCACAGAGTGGACACATGATGGTAGTGTTGGCCTCACAGATTTCTTTACTAAATCAGAGAGATAACAAAATTGGACATTAATTGTTTTATTATTCTTACAATTCAATAACAGAGCACAGCCAGAACAGTGCCTAAACAAGTTGATATTGACTACAATGCTCATCTATTCCATCCCTGCAAAATTTCATAGATGGTGATCAATTGCTCTACATGTAACATTTTTTGGAGACATAGTATGTCAATATTATGGCAGGAGTAATAAGTTATCATGGGGAGAAACAGACTCAGGGTCAACCCATCCAAGACCAAGTGGCTGTTGTTTCCGACGTCCCGATATAGTCAGTTGGTGCCATCACTGACTATTGGGGGCAAGTCGTTGTCCCCCACAGAGAGGGCTCGCAACTTGGGTGACCTCCTGGACTCACAGCTGTCTTTAGAAGAGCACTTGACGGCTGTGGCCAGGAGGACTTCGCCTGATTCACCAGTTGCATCCCTTTCTGGATCGGGACTCATTAAGTACGGTCACTCATGCCCTCGTCACTTCCCGCCTGGACTACTGCAATTCTCTCTACATGGGGCTCCACTTGAGGAGCACCCAGAGGCTCCAGCTGATCCAGAATGCGGCTGCGCAGGTGGTTATGGGAACGATGTGGCACTCCCATCTGACCCCCCTCCTGTGCGAGCTGCACTGGCTCCCGGTGGTCTTTCGGGTGCGCTTCAAGGTTTTGGTCACCACCTTTAGAGTGCTCCATGGCATTGGACCGGGGTATCTATGAGACCGCCTTCTGCCACCAGTAGCCTCTCACTGACCAGTACGCTCCCATAGAGAGGGGCTTCTCAGGGTGCCGTCGGTCAAACAATGTCGACTGGCGGCCTTCTCTATGGGGGCACCTGCCATCTGGAACGAGCTCCCCCCGAAGATATGGAGGATCCTGGATCTACGCGCTTTCCGCCATGACCTCAAAACATTCCTTTTCCAGCAGATTGGCCTGGCCTAACTTCTCTTTTAAATTGCTTTTAAATTTTAAATTTGTCTTATAAATTGGGGTGTTTTAAATTTGTTTTCTGGGCCAAAGTATTTAATATGTTTTAAATGGTTTTTTAATGTTTGTACTATGTGTATTTTATTTTTTGGCTGTTCACCGCCCTGAGTCCTTCGGGAGTAGGGCGGTATATAAATTTAATAAATAATAATAATAATCATCAACATCATTCCTGGTCAGTTTGGATAAGTACCATTTAAGCATATTTATTGGCTTCCCTTAAGGAATTCCCTCTCCCAAAATAGTTCAGGGCTCACAATATGTTAAAAATCTAAAAATCACTCCTGTTATTATTAGAAACCATCTAAAACACAAAAACATCAGAAAATGTAATAGTGGTTGTAATTGTTCTCTTCTCCAGCCTCAGATGCCTATTAACTGCAGGAAGCAGTGCAAAAATACCAAGAGATTGTTTTCCCCTTCTAAACATTCAAAGGTGGCCGCATTCTTCATCCTCATCATCGTCCTGCCATGTTTTCACAAGCAAAAAGAGTAACTCACCTGATCTGACTGGAACTGAAGCTGATGGAGCCATAGATGAAAAGAATACAACCGGGCACAGCAGCTATTAACAGGATGCATGTATACCAGCCCAGCCAAGCATAATAAAGAGCAATTTTCTCCCCAAAATATGTTCTGAAAAGGAAAGCGTATACCTTGAAAGAATTGTCCAAACAACATTGCTTGTCTTGACATAAATCCTCTAGTTCTGGATCTGAAAGAACTGCCACTAAATGAAGATGTTTCCAAGCCAATACCTTATTTTACAAAAGCAGTCAATGGAAGCTACACCCAGAGGCACAAAAAAGTAGCAGATTCACTGAACGTTGGTGAAATCCAGTGATTCAGTTTGCAAGTGCTGGATTATTAAAGTATGTTCAAAAATTGAGCAGCACTGGCAAAAACTGTAGCAGGGTTTAATCTTCAGATCAGATCAGTGAAATATCAAAGAACCATCTCTTCTTCAAGAGAAGCAGATTGTTAACTGAAGTACATGACATCATTTCAGTTTGTGACAGCATGATCTCAATTCAGAAACAAAAAAAAGGAATACAATTTAAATCTTATTTAAATGTTCCCTTCCTTTAGATAAGGATATAGGACACAAAAGGCTATTTAAATTAACATGATGATGTTTTTATTACAGTAATTTCACATTTCAAAGCATCCTCATCAATGTTTCCAATTTCTCTGTCCCTTACCTGATTTCTTCAATTGGTTGCCTACAGAAGAGTGCTCTCCATTGAGCCCAATTCATTTTCAGAAATCTACCCAGATTTTCTCTCTAGATAAAATAATGCAATTAAACATGTTAAAACTGAAAGATTATATATTCTATAAACAATTTTACAACCCTGAGCAATCCACACCCACAAGATGCTGAATAGATATATACAGCCACAGTTGTCAAACGAAGCTTTTCTTCTACTGATTAATGCATCGCAAATATAGTTTCTGACATTTATTTTAGCCTTTTCTTCTAATTAAACACCAGTAAAGCTTCCCTTACCATCACCATCACTATCCCTAATACTAGAGCAACTTGTAATGGTCTATCTCTCTGGATCCAGGAATCAAGACAAAAGACTAGACTCCATTCTTCAATCTAAGCTCACAACTGCTATTTAATTTAACAACTGTATTCAACAGCTTTATGTTGGCCTTCAGGCTTCCTCACCTCATGTAACGGAAATGCAGTTTCAAACACTTTCTTCTTTATCAGGTCACGAAGCTTCTCTAGTAGAGGAAGAGAAACAAGATCAAGACCTTTCCCCCCAAAAGTGAAATTCTGCCAGGGTATTTCTTTCAAATAGACACTCAAGTGAGTATCTTAACAAAGACTTCCAGGTAAATGTCTCCTTGAAGCATGTATATCTCAAAGCAGTGTTATGCATATTAGAATATGCATGACAATTAAGAATAATTCTTCTGTGCTAGTTTCTGTTACTCATTCATTTGATAAACATTCTTCCTTCTAGGGCTAATGTAGCATTTTAGCTAAATAAGCAATTCACAAAAATAGATTAAACTAAAATACAGTACACCAGCCTTATCTAGGGCAAATTACAAAACATCATGGCTATTTGTAGATCATTTTAACTTATTTTTAATTTTGGACATAAATGGCTTGAAATAAAATATTTCCTCCTGGTCATTTGACAGCTAATTCCATGGTAATGATTTGGTTTGCTTGTTGGGATAGTGTAAATATCCCACTCAAAAACCAGGTTTGCATTATTTGTCAATCTCAGGTGATGACAAAAGAAATTACTTTTGCCCAAATGGGGCTGTTGAGTCAGCGGCGCATATAACCATGTCGGGGAAAAAGCAGACTGGATTACCTGACTTGTGCCTTAGGGAGAAAAACTGGATTACTGCAAGCTAAATCATTTATATCTGCCTTAGAAAAGAGTTCGGAAACTTCCCATGATTTAAAAGACCATTGGCACCAGCTTTAAAAACAGGTTAATGTGATCTGTATTCTAGCTCCACTCGTTGCCTGAATATTCTCAGGTGTAATTTACCAGTCTTCAGTATTAAAACCCTAAATCAGAAGATGGAGAACCTGCCGTCCACAGATGACAAATCATCACTCCTGTTGCCCTCAATCAATAGTTCTGCTGATTGGGAGGGAGTGATAAGAGTTTTGGTCCCCAAAAACAGGAAATGTCAGGTAGGAGAAGGTGGCTTCAACAATGAAGGCAGGGATTTATTTATTTGATTTATATTCCATCTTTTGTACGGGAGCTCAAGGTGGCATAAGTAGTGTACCCTCCTCCTGTTTGCCTCCACAGAGGGAAGGAGGGAAGGCTGAAAGAGACTGAACTGGCCCCAAATCACCCAGTGAGCTTCCATGGCAGAGGGGGAATTACAATACGGCTCTCCCTGTTCCTGGTAAAACACCTCAACTACTACATCACACTAGCTCTTCAGGTAGGTAACCGGTTTAGAGTCTCTCCTTGCCCCACAACTTCAGTTAAAAAGAACCAAACAGCAAGCAAATCTGTGTATGTGTCCGTCCCCCCACCCCCCAAGAAGCAAACCTGATCCTGCCCCCCTCCACAGGAGCTGCAGCAAAGAAATAACACAAGAGAAAGGACATAGGGAGTTTTCTTTCTGCATCACAAAGATTTGAACGGTCATTAGGTGACAATCCAGGAGTTTTGTATACTGTACAAAATGTTTTCTGTAACAAAGCATGAGCTATTTCTGAGTGGAATTTGAACCCTGTCATCCTACAAACATCATCACACTGCCTCCAATCCACCCACACTGCAATTACAAATGAAACACTGGACCCTAAACGCATCAGATTGCTTTGTCTGAAGTGACACGGCTAAAAAGCAAAGTACTTTTTTCAGTTCATCACATCATTACTACTCATCAGAAAGCTGGGTCAGCTTGCAGGCATGGTTACATGTACTAGGATGAAGCCTCCCCACAGCGGGGTGTGTCTCTATATGAATAATAAAACTGACTGGTGATCATAGCTGCATTTGTGAAAAGGATACTGCAAAGTGAAAATAAAATACAAATGGATTATATTTACACTAACAAAGGGAAAGATCTTTTCATACCTTTGGTATTTGGAATTTCTGTGTTTTGCAGGATAAAACTCACAATACGTATCCTAAAACATACAAGAACCGAAAAAACAGCAATGCTAGTATAAACTGTTCAGAGGCAGGAATAAATACAACTTTCATTATTCAAAAGTATTTTTTTTAATTTGATTTATATGCCGCCCTTCTCCGGAGACTCAGGGCGGCTTACAATGCGTTAAGCAATAGCCTTCATACTTTTGTATATTTATACAAAGTCAGCTTATTGCCCCCACAAACTGGGTCCTCAATTTACCCACCTTAGAAAGGATGGAAGGCTGAGTCAACCTTGAGCCTGATGAGATTCGAACTTACAGTAATTGCAGACAGCTGGTTTTAATCACAATGCTGTCAGTCTGCTGAGCCACCAGGCCCTTTTTAGAAAAGTATTTCTACCTAGTATAGAAATTCTTAAGGCATATAACTTTTATCATGAAAATCTTTTAACTTTTTATCCCTAACGGTGATAAAGCATCCTGCTGGTGCCATTTAGAGAAACAAGAGCAAATAGAATAGATCCATTTCTGAGAATTAGGGAAAGGAGGCAGCAGCTCACTAGGGACATTGCCAGTGAAAAAGCTGTAAGGATTAACCTCCCTACTTCAGCCCTTCCTTGAAGTTTTTAGTTTGGTTTGTTTGCTTTGTTTTAAAAAGCTTCCAATTCTTTCTCTGTATTCTACACCAGGGGTCCCCAACCATTCTGAACTGGGCCACACAAGGGGTGGGTGAGCGCACGCGTGCTTGCAGTTCCATTTGCATGAGTGGCGGGTGGGTGGGTGCACTTGCAAAGCTCCACTTGTGGGAGCGGCAGGCGCGTGCCCTCGCTTGTGCAAATGGAGCTGCACGCACGCATGCCTGCCACTTACACAGAACCATCCATCTCCCCCCCCCCCCCAACTACTGGTCCACCAAGCCTGACAGATTGGGGACCTCTGTTCTACACAGTAATCTGCATAGCTATTCAGTAGTTTCTAGTTTGTACTATCTAGTAAGTGCAAAGGCCTTAGCAAAAATCTCTCTATTAGTTAATATTATCTTTAAATGAATAGCATTGATATCTCTGCAGTTTTGAAAAGGCTTAGAAAGTCACTCCCAATTGATCCTCACCCCTCAACTACAATTAAAAGTTCTCAATTAAACTAAGCAATAGTCTCTGTGCCAATCCAAACATTGTCTTCAAGAAATGTTCCCATTAATTTATGACCTCATGACTTATTAATCACGTGGACAGCAGCTTCACTTGAGCACCAACTGTATGCACCAGATGGGTAGATGGATGGATGGATACCTTACCTTGTTGAAGTGATTGCTGACTGTTGGTAATCTAATTGCTCTGGAAACAGATGCTCCGATTCATTATCAGGATTATTCAGAAGCCACTGGTATTTTCGAAAGATTCCACTTGGTGCATGAACTCCATAAAAGAGCTTTTGGTCCCTAATTGCCTAAGAATTTGATAGAAAAATAAATGATACCAAGACTTATAAGACATCAGTCTAGGAGAATCCTCAATTCTCATACTCATGAATTGGTGCAAAAATATTATGATCATGCTTGAGAAAAGGCCAGTTAGACAGATCACATCCACTCTATCAAAGCATGAGCTTGTTGTGTTGTCAGACTGAGCTACCTGACATCAGCTCCAATTCTGAGCAAGGAAAGCTGTGGGCCTCTTGTAAACAAGAGCTTCAAATCAGCATGCCAGCTCTATATCCAGCAATGTGGTGTCAGCTTTAGGGAGGGAAGAGATGTCAGTCTTACCTTGATAATGAACCCTTTCCTGTGCAGTTCTTCCAGAAACTTCTTTTTCTTGCGAGCCTTCTCAATGTTCATCCTGTGATCATCACAAACTAGGACAAAGTCCCATTTCCTAGGGAACTGGTCAGAGAAAAACAATCAACTAGTTGAAAATCAATAACAAGCCTCCCTTGTCTCATAGAAGGAAACAATAATAATAATATATTAAACTAATATGCAGACCAACCCCTCCACACACATCACTTTTAAATAACAATGGAAAGCATCTTCCCTCTAGAATTCAGTCTCCAATATAGTTTCCTAATACTTTTGTTTTGTATTTCTGACCACATGATTCGACTCATCAATTCTGCCATTCCACAGACTGAGGGTTGGGAACCCCCGTCCTAGGACAGAGATGTAAAAACTTTGAAAACAACTGGGATAGTTGAATCCCCCCCCCCCCCGTTTTGTCAGTAACCCCCCCCCCTTTGCCTTTTTTTTTGTTTACTAAAAAGATGGAAAGGATGAAGAAAATGAAATATTTTCTTTCAGCATAATGAATGCAGTAAGATAAGATAATTCTATATTCCTATTCTTTATTCCTCCCCTCCCCCAAATATCCTGTATTAGGATAAGCAAGATTATAGAAAGCACATAAAGGGAAGAAGAAAGTTTATCATCTGCATACTACTAAAACTCTTGTGTCTCTAACTTTTAACTGAGTAAAACAATGCATCATAGGGCAACAATTTTTCAACTGTGGTACCTCAAATGTCTTAACTTACACAATGCATCCAAAATGATGCCCTTGGGATTGAAATTTGGCAAATTTGTGTTTCCTTCAGTGCCTGGAGGTTCAGTAGACTGGTCACACTCTAGTCCTCTGAAGGTCAGATAGACCAGCCTCTCTTTTGGCTCCTGCTGATCAGGTAGACAGAATAACCAAGGGCAAAAAAGCAATGAAAATGGGAACTGCCAACTTTCTGCTGGCTTGCTTATGGCTAATCGCCCTCCAGCAGCCAGTGGTGGGAATAGCCTACTCAGTTTCCAGAGGGTTAGGGTGGAACCACTGACTGATGGAGAAGATCAGTCGTAATCAAGTCAGCAGAAAGTTGGAAATTGCTCCGCTTCTACTACTTTTTTGCCTTTGGTTATTCTGTTTCTTTATTTAGGTAAGGAAATATCTCTGAAATGATAACCTAATATTTCACAGGTTGTCTAGTTTATTATAGCCCATTCTGTCCTTGCAAATCATCTTTACTTCTATAAGTTTTATACACTGATTTGACAGAAACAAATTATTCCGCGGTTATTTTATCCCCCCACTTTTTATTTGGAGAAACATTCATTCCTTTGAGCAGGCCACATACCATTCACAACTTTTCTATCAGCATTTCTAGTTTTAAAAAAAACCTAACCATCTTTAGTAAACATTCTATTAAATTCTTGCCCAAATATCTATTTTATTTATTTGCAATTTATTTATAACTTCAAAATCATTCATTCCCTTTTCTTGCCAAACACAACTACTTTGCTCTTTAATTCATTAATTCTCAAATTCATAGCCCTCATCATATTATACATTTGAGATAATATTTGCTGAAAACCATTTGAATTCTCAGCCAACATCTCTACACAAAAGTATCCCTAATCTATTTACTTCTGATGTCACAAGTATTTCCTATACATCGATCCATAAATATAGTATGCAACCAAGGGAGTAGCACACATCCTTGTCTTATTTGTTACTCACTGAGGAATAATTCACTAAGCATTCTGTTTATTCACATAAAAGTTTTTCTTCCTTGCACTATTGTTATCACATTCAGGAACCAATCTTTGGTTCCATATTTGGCTGAAACATTCTGTGACTTATACACTGTGCACCATAGATTTTCTCAAAATCAAGGAATGTGTGAAAGAACATTTTTTGCACATTTCTCAATGCTAAGGAGCAAAATTCCAGTCTGTTCACCTACTACCTGGCATAAGGCTCCTTGAGTACGGGCTCCCCACAGGGCTGTGTCTTGAGTCTGCTACTGTTCACCTTGATGACCCACAACTGCTGTGCCAAATCTGCTATGAATCTTATTGTGAAAATGCGAATGACACGCCAGTGGTGGGTCTCATCTGGGAAGACAATGAAGATGCTTATAGGGAAGAGATGAAGGCTCTGGTGGACTGATGCAATAAAACTAACCTGGTTCTAAGTGTTAAATAAAACAAAGGAGATCATTGTAGATTTTAGAAAGAGCCAGCATAGTCATACGCCACTCAGTATCAAGGATGCAGCTATAGAAGTGGTCAACAGTATTAAGTATCTGGGGGTGCAGATAACTAACAATCTGAACTGGTCTCTCCAAAGGTCATCCTTAGGGAAGCGTGCAAATCAGGGTCTGCATTTCCTATGTCAGTTGAGGAGAGCACATCTTTCTCTTTCTGTCCTAGCCACTTTTTACAGAGGCACGATTGACAGTGTTTTAAAAACTGCATCACTGTTTGGTTTGGTGGTGGCAGTGTCTCAGATTTCTGTTATTCAGGATACTGCTTATAAGCGCTTTGCATTTAGAGCTCAAAGCATTGCCAGAGACCCCACACACCCACTTTATGGTCTGTTTCTGTTGCTCCCCTCTGGGAGAAGGTTTCGAAGTATTTCTAGCAGGACTACCAGATTCTGTAACAGCTTTGTTTCCTAGGCCATCCATCTGGTAAACTCACAAAAATTCATTTTTCATCTCCACATCTGGACTAGACTGTGTTGTTTGTGACATATAATATATGTGGGTATATTCATAATTTTGTATTTATTTATTTTGTCATGTTTATGTAGTGTATATTGGAGGTGATGACCTTTTGAGAGCTGTATGCAACAAAATTTCATTTTAATGTATGCTGATTGGTGTACATTCAAAGTGACAATAAAGTTATTCTATTCTATAATTTTTGCTCATTCTCACCTCTCATGGCCTTTGGATTAAAATTCCTCCAACTTCTTCCCAAATGCAGTTAACATATTATTTATCTGTAAACATTTGTACTTGCAAACTTTCCTTTTGTGTTGTGGAACAATAGCAGCATTTTTCCAATCTTCCGCCACGGAATGCAGCATTTGCCAATATTAAACAAGTCACACAGCTGCTCCACAAGCAAACCACATTCATATTTATAACATTTCTTCCATTATCCTATCTACTCCTTACAGTCTTACCATTTTCAGCATTCTCAGAGCATTTATGGTTTCTTTTTCCAACTCTTTTTTCTTTGTGCGATTTGTTTTAATTCTACATTTTTGACATGTTGGCCAGAAGATTGCTAGGTACTTAAATCCAGTGTGAAAAAGCCAATGTCCATTAAAGGCAAAACTCTTTTACTTCTGTACAGAAGCAAAAGAGGACGCCACTGGGTTTCACAGCCAAGGAGCACACTAGAAATCAGGTTGAGTAATTTTTATATAATTTACCATAGAAAACAAAAATAAGAGAATTGCTGATTGATTACAAAGTTACATGACAGTTGCACATGCGCACAAAGCAAAGCCATCCATAATATTCTATTAATTAGCTAATCCTACTTTATTATCATATAAATTGACAACCTCTGGGTGTGTTTTTTTTTATTATGCTAATGATAAACTTTGCTTATCTTCAGACCTTGTCCAAATGCCTCTAACCACAGCTTAAGATAAATATCACATCACCTCCCAGTAACAGATTCGCTTACAAGGTGTCTTAGCTGAGTGTCAAAGCCACAACCTGCCAGCTAGTTTATATAGGAGACATCTGGAGTCAACCTATGGAATGTTTGTGGTTGACTCCTCTAGCTCCAGAAGTGGTATTCAGCAGGTTCTGACCAGTTCTGGAGAACCGATAGCGGAAATTTTGAGTAGTTTGGAGAACCGGTAAATACCACCTCTGACTGGCCCCGCCCCCATCTATTCTCTGCCTCCCAAGTCCCAGCTGATTGGGAGGAAATGGGGATTTTGCAGTAACCTTCCCCTAGAGTGGGGTGGGAATGAAGATTTTACAGTATCCTTCCCCTGCCATGCCCACCAAGCCACACCCACCAAGCTATGCAATGCCTACCAAGCCATTCCCACAGAACTGGTAGTAAAAATTTTTGAATCCCATCATTGTCTAGTTCTTTTGTTGATACGCGTTAAAGAAATGTTACCTCTAGTCGGCAAAGGGACAAATAAGATAATGTCTCTGGCTAAAGTTAATTCACAGCTTATAAAAGTTTCTAATTACTTATTAATAAGTCAATAAGCTACCAGACCCTCAAACTGGAAGGGTGTCATAGCTATTATTAAAACTAGGCAAATTTCCACTCACCCCACTGACATATTGTTATCATTCCCACAGAAATCTATAAACTACCTATCCTGCATTCCCTTACTTGAAGCTTCATCTCAAGCCATTCAGAAGAAGCTTCTGGTATAGTTTTCTTCCTATTTCCAGGACATTTATTTTTATCAAAATCACTTGGCATTTTTCTGCCTTTTTTTTAATCATAATCATTCTTGCTCTCTTTGACCACCTATTATGCTATAATAAAATATTTTCTCTTGAAATGGGAAGATTTTTATCTAGAGTATTAGCATGCTATCCAGAGGGCAACCGGTGACATATACAATAACCCCCAAATGTCAGAGCCAGATGTCCTTCTGCCTTGCCCTGGGCCATTCCATTTTCACTAATGAGGGAAGAAAAAGGAAGCACAAGGCCTGAATTACTGAGGAGCTTATTGCTGACTTTTGATCTAGATGTTGGTGAATCTGCTTTTTACTAAGCCTCAAGGAAAGAAGAAGCACTATAATTTAAAACATGTTAAAGCAGATTGAATTAGTAAACATAATTACTGTCTCACTAAATTATACTTTAATAAACATAAGGTATATCTGGAAATTTTATATCTCTGCTCCAAGGCAATGACAAATTACTCCATGGTTTAGCATGATGCATGTATCTAGCCAATGAGATTTAGTTTTGAGAGATTTTTCACTCATATTTTGCTGTAGAAAATCCATATTTGCCCCAACACTCAACAGGGAGATAACTATACTGAATTCAAGTTATTTAGCATATGTGCCAGTTTAATTTAATTTAATTTAATTTAATTTCCAATTTATATACCGTTTA